GCGCGCAACCTCAGCTCATGAGTCCCTGCGACCGATGCCGGCTGATATGCCCTATACATTACATTTTGTTTGAACAGGTTAAAGTGGCGGTTTTATTCGAGTCGTAATTAAGGGTCTTTGGTCGGGAGAGGAAAAGGACTCTGAATCGAGTTTACCTTCGAACGTTGCCAAAGTGAAGCCACAACCACAGTCCGGGTCTGAGCACCTACAGAGTGATGGAAAAGCAGCAGCTAGTGTCCCGAATGGTTGCCATACTGCTCCTCCCAAAAGCCCCGGGATTGGTAAGCGGTCTGAAGTTCTTTTTACTATCAATCAACTCCTTTTAGCGCCTTTTCCCGGCCTGGGTGGTTTCATGTTTTCGCCCTTCCCGGTGATGTTTGGAGATGTGTCAATGGGACGGGGCTACACTTCTGTCGGTTCTGTTCTTCAACCACTTATTCCGCCATCCAATGCATCTAGTCCTCCCATCGGTCAACCGCTTTACCAGCAACCCCCCTCTCTCGCTGCTAACGGAGCGATGAACCAACGTCCTCTTCCAATACGTTCCAACTATATGGATCAGAACGCGATGTTTGCTGCTAGTCGTAAGCTCACTGATCTGAAAGTTAGAAAGTTGACTAAAAATTCACTTTAGTCCCGGCGTCGCAGAACGTTTCATGGAATATCGGCAACATCGGAAGCATGCTGGATAGCGCTTGCAATGCTGCTTTGTCGGGTACTCCATCTCCACAACTTGCTGCGACCCATATCTCATCCTCTGTGCAGCATCCACCACCCAATATGATACTGCAACATCGTGGACCGGCTCCTGCTTCCATGACACAGGTGACTTACACTATCTGGACTGTCGTAGCGTACATTAAAGACAGCAATGATGGGCATCTCATGTAGAAAGTAATTTTGGGGCCCTAACTAAGCATTGCTCCATCGGCAGCTCGAGTTTACTCGCGGCTGAGATATGCATCTTTTAACCAGGCTTCAATATCATAAGAATGGACGACTTGCCTCATGTTCGCATGATTTCATACCAGCGTGAAATTCGCATGGGTCGCGCGAAAGCATGCAAGCACGATGGGTCAGGTGAGGCGAATAACTCAGCCGTGAGTGAATCGATCGCGCTGCCGCTTGGGCAGGCATCTTAGTTAGGGCTCCAAGATTACTGTCCCATGAGATCCCCGCAGGTCTAGATTTGTCTGGACGCTGCCTTTACGACCAGGTATCAGTTTGCTCTGCATGATTTTGTTTTCCCATTTTGAATGCACTGTTTAGAATCATTCGCAGTCTCTCGCTCATGGATATGGAGTGGGAAACTTGGCAGTTGCTGGAGGGCATTTGGGACCGCCACACCCTCCGCCGAATGTAGGAGCACCAACAACTCTGGTTCCTCCACCGCCTATTCCTCCTCCTGAGCTGATGAATATCCCCCCTCCGATTGGCAGTCAGCGCGTCGCACCCGTGACGATACAGTACGCAGGATTTCCCCCGGCTCCACCTCTCAATCATGCTGTTCATCCCTCGCATAATTTCGCCCAACCACCTCCGAATGTCAGGTTTGTGACATTTCGAAAAAGCTACTAAAGTCGCTAGTATCACAAATGTCCAGGCATGAAGCGATGTTTATGCAGGCACTCGGGCAAGTGAGAACGTAGCATAATTGACATGTACAGCTGCACATAGCTATCTTTCTTGGGTCTAGGCATATTTTTTGCGATTCTGGTCGCCCCTCCCCCTCTTCCCGATTTGCACTACGGTGGAGTTCGCGCGTAGGGACGATTTGGTGGAATAGCCCGTATTATGTCGTTAGCCTTAGGGAGTAGAGGATTTTATGTCGCCGAAAGAGGAGGGTCCGTACGAATTTTGCTCTAAATCTGCATTCCCGCATATAAGATGTAGCTGCACTCGTGGACCAGAGTCTACAAATTCACCGCAGTTTTTGAATTTGAATTACATAGGTGCATAGATTTGGAAGAATTATGAGCGATTTAGCAAGGGATCGATCATACCTTGCCGCCGCGCGATTTTTAATTGCTACGTTTGTTCACAATTTTCACAGGCGCATCCTCTGTAAGCAAGATTTGGCATGTACGCATAAGATTAGTGAAGCTATGCGCCTACGCACCTGAAATCCACACGCGGTATTTTGTGGACATCTGGCAGATTGCCAGATCGCGTATGGCAACGGGCATAGTGTCCGCGATTTCGTCGTCGCGA